AAGAAAACTAAACTGATTTCCCAGGGCTGATCACTTGTCAGATTCAAAACTCTCAGTGTCAGTCACATAAATAATTTCAGCCTGACATTGACAATTTGTCAGGCAGCCCAAAAAAAGTAATTCTCAACCTTGGGTTTACATTGTATACAGGGCTTGACAATAACTTGGCACCTTGGAGAAAAACTCCCTCTCAATTCAGTAGTTGCTTCCCTAGAGCCTGGATTCTTGAAGCTGTTTTTGGAGCCAGTAAGAGTAGACTTGAGAACCTGTCACTTACTTCCATTGAACAGCTCCAGCCAAAATTGAGGCAGCTTCCCCAATGTAACAAACATGGAATACAGAAAACTTTAACGTATCTATTTATATTGTATTGTAATTGTGTTGTGTACGTATATATTTATTGCTTTTTACCAAAAGAAATATTGTAATTTCTAAGGATGCAATAAAATTTGATTATTATTATTATTATTATTATTATAATTCCAAGCCTGGAAGCTGTTTTCTGCTCAAAGTTAAAAATTCTTATTTTCAAGCCCTGTGTATACCTTGTAATTCCATGCAGATGTTTTCCTTGAAGCAGTTGAACTTCCATCCCACTTCTACCAAAAATGTTTTACCCAAGAATATACTATAAAGTTGGATTTAAGACATCAGTGCAGGAATCCTAATGTCTGGTCTACAAAAAGTTCATTTGAATAAATGGCACCACAAGATACAAGTCCACTTCAACTTCCTCAGCCAAATCAACAATACCAAAGGAAAACATACCAGTGGAGATTGTTCCTGTACTGTCTTGGAACTGTGCATCAATATTCACTTCGCACTGACTTGCACTCTTTTCCTCAATATTGATAACATTCCCTGAAAACAGAAAAGGTATTATTATTCAGTGACACAAAACCAGTGATGGTAGCCCCAATTGCACACTACCTGCAAGTTATCCTGGAAGTTAATCAGGATAAGGCATTTTAGAGAATTAGGAGTTGATCCTTACTGACAGCGGATTCCCAGTTCAGTTAAAATTAGCATTTCTCACAAATCTCCATCATCTGCAAAAATTGGCATGTCTTGAATGGTTATTGTCTGGTTTGCAGCCAAATGCTCCACTGGAATAACTGATTTCACACTGAAAATTCTCTATGTGGTCCTATTTTCCTTTCACAAACAAAAAAATATTCATTTAAGAAGATTTTAGGGTTTACAGTATTCAAACATAAAACAATACTTTCTGAAAGTGTCTCTGGAGGAAAATATATCGTATTGAAACAAGACATACCTTCACTAATGTTATGCTCTTGTGAATGACTAGCAGTGGCATGAACTCTAACTGAAGCACTGGAACTGGTTTGTTTCTTCACAAAACGGATTTCACCGCTATCGAGAGCCATCCGAGCCAGCATCTTCATCCCCTGCCTCGATGTTAATCTCTGTCGTTTCAGTAGACAAGCTGAGGTGTGCTTGGGCATTTGCTGCAACTCCAACTGATTTTTCTGATGTTACCAGTACTGAAATAAGAATGATAAGAATTTCAGACGGGAAATGATATCGAATGAGACATGGAAAAATCCAGGGGAAAGTCAGGGACCATCATTCTTCAGGGGATCGGGCCAGTTGTTGCCCAGTAACTGAACACCTCTAACCAGGGCCTCCAGCTTCCCAATTCCACTGTGCTCCCCTCATTTGCCCCTATTGTATTGCTGTACGGTCCTTTTGAAGCAGGCAGAGAAGTTGGAGGGGGGGGGCAACACAACAAACAGGCCCACTCATCAGCTGTTGACAATGAATCATCAATACCAACAACAAGTCTCCACACAGACGCATACTAGTACAATTACGTAGTGAATGGAGTGCTGTGTGGAGGCCAACGCTAGTAGCCACCGGGGAATCCCCACTTTCCAAGCGATTTTACCTGGAGCCGAGGTTGACAGGATTTTTGAACGTGCCGAGTGCACACATTATCATCGCTTTTCAACCATGGGAACTAGTATGCTCTTGTGTAGGTAAATACATGTCAATACACAGGCGATGCGTGCATCGAATCGAAGCGAGGAAATGCCGGGTCAAACTTCGGTTTTAATGTCAAAGACAGTAACGAAAACGTGTACTTACCACGCTCTTCGTGATATCTGGGTACACAGCCACAATATGCACATTTCACAGAACCCTTTTCGGTCAGAAACTCCGGACAATCGGCACAGTTTCAGCAATCGCCTCGATCGATTCCACGAATATCGGGAGCCATGATTCTGCTTCTGCTGGATGAGACTCGTCTGGGGAAGCGTCAGGGACACGGGTAGCCAAAGTGCCTTTCAATATGTCCGGGATCACGATCAACTCCCAACCTCCCATCATGCTCAGATGCGAATCGGGGTGTCCTGCACGTTTAACAAGGAGTTCGGGCTGTCCGCGACTTTTAAGAATCTTGACCCCGACCCCGCCCCGAACCAGATTCAAGAGCTTTGGGAATAAACCCCCCTTTTTTGTATATCTCGGGAAGTGTTTTGAAGTACACCCCCTATTTTGAGAATCTCGGGAAAACAAGCAAAAAATACTCCCTTTTCTACGATTTTCTACGACAGATCGTCAAAAAGTACCCCCTTTCCCGAGAAAATGGGAACGCGCATGCGGCCCCCTATGGATCCTGAGTGGGGGGGCCGGGCCATATATATATCAATCACTTTGAGGTCGTGATACATTAAATTTACCCACTTGTTGAATATTCTAGACACAGTAGTCTTTGAAACATTAAAACGTTCAGCTAGGTCTTTTACAAACAGTCCAAGTCGTAGTCTACACATAACTAGAAAGAACTGATTCATGGGTGTCAATTTATCCCTGGGGGAGGTGATCTGGTTGACTGAATCCCCAAAATATTCAAAACAAATCTTAAAACGTTCGAAGTCAGGAAACCCAGTATAAAAAGATATGTCATCGTGATTATTTTTGAACTTCTCAATACCAAACGCTCCATTTCTTAGCTGGTCGACCACATTGTTGAGTTGCATATTTTCAGTGTGCTGTTTATGTTCATTTTGTCTATGCATGTCTAGTTCGCCTTTTAGCTGCTTATTTTCATTTTCTAGATGGTCTACCTCGCTTTTGTTTTTTTCCAACATTTTGCTTACTTGGTTTCGTAGCTCCACAAGTTCTTGCGATTCTTTTTTTTTATCCAATACATTATTACTACGACTGCTTTGGTGAAGTGCTGCTTTTGACTCAGATAACTCATTTTTCAATGGTTTACGTTCTTTTGAAGGCTTTCTTTGAGGCTTCAACTTCGTCCACGGGAAAATGGTAGGTAAATGGCTTCCCCACTGCTTTTCTCCTCCGTCAAAATGGGCGCTACAAATTCGCATTTGTTTGGACTCCACCTTCAGTGTGTCATTTCTAATAAGCACTGTATACAACTTTAACAATGTTTCCTGCTTTGGTAGTCGATAGAAATGTAAATTCTTATTCTTTGATGAATTATTGAAGCATAACAGGACACAGCAATTGTAAGGCATGTTTATCTCAATTAGCAACTAAATTCAAAATGGTCGCTCCACACCGTCAAAAGTACCCGGATGTAAATACACCGGGGTCAAGCAAAGGTCACGGGAATGGCCTATTCACTCATCAAAAAATTAATAATTCTGAAGGATGTCGTTATTACAGTAACAGGAAATAAGATCACACTTACGTTTGTGTCTTGACCATGGAATAGCGTGAACTGAATGATGAATTGAGCGTTAGTGACGAGTCAAATCAAATGACTTGGTAGCGTGAAAACTTGTGATTTTTAAAAGGTCAACTTCGGACAAAACGAAATGGCCACTAGAGGGCGCCACATATCTAACTGTGTTGCGAACCGACAGCAAAACTGCATGCCTTGCTAGCTGAGCAATGAAAGGTATTACCAATGTAATGGCAAATGTAAGCTATGTTTACTTATTCGAAGTGGCCAGCGCTGATTGGTTACAATGGGGGACGCCCACTTACTGCCTCCCAGGAATACAAATGAACTGTTACCCCACATGACATAGCAACTGTGACCACCCACATATTCAAAATGAGGTGCTTACTGATTGGACAATGTTGATAGTACTAGTATCTCATTAATATGAATTAAAACAATGATGACATAATACACTTTCTGGATTGGTCAACTTGAATTCTAGCATCATTTTAATTTATGAAAATGTATGTTTATATAACCACGGCCATATGCCCTTTGTTGTAGTACAATTGGACAAGTGACAAGTTTGATTAACAAAGTCTATTTTTTATTCTTATCTTTCCAGTAACTAAAATTATAAACCAAACATAGCTACACATGTGTGTCACTGATTTTCACCTTGATATTTTAGGGTTTTCGTTATGTATATGCACAAGACTGTTGGTACAAGTCACTGGCCCCATTAATGGAAGATGTACGCCAACAAATGGGTGATACACCAGTTTATATCAGTTTTGATATTGATGCACTGGATCCAGCATACGCACCGGGCACAGGTATATATTATTCACTGTTAATTGCTACAATATGCTAGAAAAATGGATAACTGAATCACACACACACACAAATTGTTTAGCAGAAAGGAGGTATTTTAATACAAAACTAGGCCTGAACATAGGCCTCAAAGTACCCCAGACTACAACAGGGCAGTAAAAAATTACTGAAACTGACTAAATTCACAAATCTGTTAAAAGTGTTACAATTCAGAAAAGGGGTGTGGGAAAATAAAAATACAAAGAAATGGGGAAGTGGTGGGAGGGTGAAAAATACAAGACAGCCTGGAAAACAAAATACTGAAGCAGACTGGGAATCTTCTGCCACTAGGTGGCGCTATATACTGGTGGCTACACTGCAACAGAGATAAACTGAACAGGCAAATCTATATATGTGCAGCAATTATGTACTCCTTGTAGATATATGCGATGGTGTTTATTGCGCACTGTACTGGCCCCTTCGAAGTCATCGATGTAATTTACAGCGTCATAGCCTTCTTGGTGGTAAATGTACATCATAGCATTAGTGCAATGTTGACAATCCATTGCCGATGAGTGGAGTCCAAATGGGAGCTTGGTGTCAATAAGAATACAACATCTCCAGATATTACCTAGGAGATGACAGTCTTGTGGGTCTACTGGGATCCAACGATAGCATCGATGAATATAACATTTAAATAACCGGCATTCACGTCCACTGGCTTTGATTAAATTAACAAGGTTATCAATGAATGGGTACCAAAGCTTGAATGGTTCTCCCAAGTAAAGATCTTTTGGTATGAGGTGTTGGTGGGAAAGTCCATGATTACTCTGCGTTCTTGCAAGTTGTTTTCTTAGGGACTGTCGATAAAGGAGAGTGGGCTAGTTGAATGTTAAATGGGTTTGTCTTGTAGGGTCCTAGGAGTGCACCATGACTGACTCTGTCAAGACAGAGTTGGCAGCATGAGATGCGAAAGCTACTGATGAATTGTGATTATGTGGTATTGTAACTGGCAACAAATCTGCCACATAAATAATAGGCCAACCATATTCTAAAAAGTCTGCTACGATACTGTAATGGTAGCCGTTTAATGCTTGTCGCCACTGTGTAATGTCAAATGAGGATGGCACCGGTATACAACTGCAATAGTAATTTGATTGGTGCAAGGCATAAACAATATTGTGTGTGTTAATAAGTTCAGCTACATTGTTTAGTAAAATAGGTGGCCTGTCTGATAATGGATCTGGCAATTGTCAGTAAAAGTAACTGCGGATGTTGTAGCATTGGGTTGACAAGAATCAGCGCTGTAGTGTGGATAATAAAACAATTCATTGGCATGATTGGTTGTTTCTGTTGATTGAGCTTTAGTGGCGTTGGTATAGTTTGTGGTGTCTGATAATGGGCAGCAGCAGTGACTGAATACTGTGACATTCTGACAGGTTGTGGTGTATCGGCAGCTATGTTGTTGGTTGGAGACAAGTGATTAGCATCGGTGGCAAGGTGGTCTGTCTTTAGTTGTTTATCACTGGAGGCCATGCTATCAGATGGAGGCTGGTAGGCAGCATCGGTGACTACTTTATCAGATGAGTACATGGTGGTGCCACCCCGGCCCTCCGGCGACGCGTTCATGGGACTCCGACGGGGCGAGGCAGATGATGAAACTTCCTTTCACCAATCTAAATAAACTCCGTAGGATACCAATAGTCTTCCTCCTCCTCACGATCACAGGGGCTGCCTCACATACCAAAGACAGACTTGATGGTACGGAGTAGAGGAGTTGGTATGCAGATACAGTCAGGGAATGAATCAGTCAACCCCAAAAAACCAGCCAACACATATATTTCAGTTATAAACAGAAACAGGCATACTGCCGATTTAATGCAATAACGTCAATATGAACCTCGCCACATAACACAATTAAGTAAAGCCTACTATAAAAAAGTATACAGTATTAATCTGACAGGACCTGGCAGCTGAACCAAGTCAATGAACAGACTAAGTCAATCCAACAGACTGACCAAATTAACCCAGTGGCACCTTGTCACTGGAAAAATAAAATCACATAAAATTAACCTGCCAGGAACTTGCATATAAATAAACTAAATTAACCTGGCAGTGCCTAACACTCACGCCAAATACAATGAAACAACTAACTGCTGTACAAATAAAATGCCTGAACAAAGCAGTAAATACCGCCCACAGCAGCCCCACGCTAAACAAGAAGTAGGACGTGCGGATAAAAAAAGGTTAACAACGTCCACACAGCAAACACTAGCTCCCAACTCAGCACAAACGCACAGGCATGCACCCAACCACGTACACAGACAAGGCGGGGTAAACACAATAATCAAAATGCACAATAAAATCAATAAAATCACCTCACTGTGCTTATCACAAAGTGCGACTAACTAAGCAGTCCATACAATCTACCCAGAGAGTGCGTCGCTGCCCCAAACACGTTGCAAAAAAAAGAAGACTCGCCCTGGTTTCTCAAAAGAGCGACCAAAACGAATCTCGCCAAAAAAACAGCTGAAACAACACAGTGCAAAGGCCTAACACGAAATACGCATGCAGAGGAAAATTCCCTAAGATAATGACCACAAGCCGCAGTCAAAACAGCCAAGGCAACGCACGGGAAAAATTAGGAAAATTCACGAGGCGTGCAACGGGGGAATGACGCAACCTCGGTGGCCACGCACAAAAAACTACACCAAACAGAAAAAAGTGCTCTCACTGCCCACAAAAAGCTACAATAATGTAAATCACAAAGTTTTGATGCAATAAAAGTTCACGTGATAATTGTTCAACATTCGATTGCAATCAAAAACGTTTCGGGGCCCCTTTCCGAACAGTTACGGTTACAGTTCACCTACCAGTCATAACGAACTCCACACGGGTTGAACTAAAAGTCCATCGGTGCACCGCAACAACAGTGTTCTTCTAAGGCACCTCTTCTGTCCCGGAATCCCCGATCCGCTTCCGATCATCACTCAGCGGCCACAGTCTTCCCCGACGACACAGTACGACGTTGCCAGCTCGAACCCCAAGAAGAGAGAGAGAGAGGGAGAGAAAGATCCGTTCATTGTTTCTGTCCTCCAGAACAACGCTTCCAGAATGTTCCAGAATAACAATTTCATAACTTGTCACGTACAATACATACTACGCAGAAAATTACAAAACTATTGAATTACAAAGTCAAAATGCATAAGAATAAATAATAAATCACACAAAATACTAACTACCGAAAACCATGCTAGGCAGCACAAGTGTACCATAAGAGGGTGCTATATCACAAAACTGCATGGTGCATATTTAAGCGATTTAAGTCGAACAATAGACAACAATGCCATGTATTATGGGTCAAAAATGCCTAAAGTAAGCCCGGGTTACAGTGGCAAGACATAACAGTGGTTCCGCATCAGTGGCTAAGTTATTGGGAGGAGGTAAACATGTAGCTTGGCAGCATCGGTGGTGAGACGAAACAGTGCTTCAGCATCGGATGCTAATTCATTAGGAGGAGGTAAACATAGGTTGGCAGCAGCGGTGGCTACATCATCGGGTGAGTGCATGTGAGCAGCATCAGTAGCAAGACATAACAGTGGTTCAGCATCAGTGGCTAAGTTATTAGGAGGAGGTAAACATAGGTTGGCAGCAGCGGTGGCTACATCATCGGGTGAGTGCATGTGAGCAGCATCAGTAGCAAGACATAACAGTGGTTCAGCATCAGTGGCTAAGTTATTAGGAGGAGGTAAACATAGGTTGGCAGCAGCGGTGGCTACATCATCGGGTGAGTGCATGTGAGCAGCGTCGGTGGCAAGACATAACAGTGGTTCAGCATCTGTGGCTAAGTTATTAGGAGGAGGTAAACATAGGTTGGCAGCAGCGGTGGCTACATCATCGGGTGAGTGCATGTGAGCAGCGTTGGTGGCAAGACGTAGCAGTGGTTCAGCATCGGTGGCTAAGTTATTGGGAGGAGGTAAACATAAGTTGGCAGCAACGGTGGCTACATTATCGGGTGAGTGCACGGGAGCAACATCGGTGGTGAGATGGAACAATGGTTCAGCATTGGTGGCTAAGTTATTGGGAGGAGGTAAACGTAGGTTGGCAGCAGCGGTGGTTACATTATCAGATGAGTGCATGGGAGCAGCATCGGTAGCAAGATGTAACAGGGGTTTAGCATCAGTGGCTAAGTTATTAGGAGGAGGTAAACATAGGTTGGCAGCAGCGGTGGCTACATTATCAGATGAGTACATGGGAGCAGCATCAGTAGCAAGACATAACAGTGGTTCAGCATCAGTGGCTAAGTTATTAGGAGGAGGTAAACATAGGTTGGCAGCAGCGGTGGCTACATCATCGGGTGAGTGCATGTGAGCAGCATCGGTGGCAAGATAGTAACAGTGGTTCAGCATCGGTGGCTAAGTTATTGGAAGGAGGTAAGCATAAGTTGGCAGCAACGGTGGCTACATTATCGGGTGAGTGCACGGGAGCATGCAACATCGGTGGTGAGACGGAACAATGGTTCAGCATTGGTGGCTAAGTTATTGGGAGGAGGTAAATGTAGGTTGGCAGCAGTGGTGGCTACATTATCAGATGAGTACATGGGAGCAGCATCGGTAGCAAGACGTAACAGTGGTTCAGCATCGGCGGCTAAGTTATTAGGAGGAGGTAAACAGGTTGGCGGCAGCAGTGGCTGTAGTGTATTGACT